CTTCCTGCGGGGCTGCGGCGCCTAGTGCTCCAGATGGACCGTGGGCGTCGCGTAGCCGGGAAAGGAACGGGACGAGGCGTCCCCTCAAAGAACCGCGGGCGGAGGCGCTCCACCCGCCCCTGCGTCACTGGAGAGAGAAAGCGCTCTAGCAGCCAGGGCCCAGCCCCGGGAGGCTAGCCGCCGGCCTCTGTTGCCCTGGGGGAGACGCAGCCTTTGCAACACCCAGCCCAGGCCACCATGCCGCCTCGGAACCACGCAGCCCTGGCAACTTTCTCCCCAAGAAACTTGCGAGTCTGTGGAAGGCGCCCCCGGAGGAGCGGGATCCTCCCTGCAAGGTAGGTCCGCCAGATGCAGCTGCTAGCGAAGCGCGCTAAAGCGATCGTGCGGACTCCTTTGCGTATAGCGGCCGGTCGAACCGCCTTGGGAAGCGCGCGGCAGCGGCCGCAGCAGCAGCAGCCGGTCCCGGGTGAGGAGCGCTGTGAGCCAATGGGCGGCGAGCGGCGTCCGGAGCGGGCCTGCGATTGGCCGGGGCGCGCCGAAGCGCGCCAATAAAAGCGCGAGCCGGACTCTCTGCCGGCAGAAGCTGCGGTCGGTCCATGGTCTGAGGTTGGGCTTGGGCGCGGTGGGAGAGACTCCTGAACGTGTGTTGTCCAGGTAAGGCTCGGATCTGTTTTGCTGTCAGCTCTTTTCTCTCTGCAGCTGAGACTGGCTGACCTTGTCGGGTGGTTGTAACAGCTGCAAGCTCGCCTCTCTCTGAAGTGCCTTGAACTCTTAGGGAGCCATGGAGAGCAATCCCTGTTCTTATTCTCAAGGCAAAGACTGCCTGGTTCCTTTTACCTGGAGATGCCGGGGACTGAACCTGGGACCTTCTGCATGCCAAGCAGAGGCTCTGTCACTGAGCCACAGCCCCTTGCCAAAAGTAGCACAGCAGAGACAAAACATCCATCCTCCCTTTTCCCTTGCTGAGTCAATTTTCTGTGGGTAGGGTGTTTTCGGCATAAGGCAGCATTCAAAATGTGGAACGTGCATGAAGCTGCCTTTTACTGAATCAGACCCCTGGCCCATCGAAGTCAGTCTTGTCTCCTCAGACTGGCAGCTGCTCTCCAGGGTCTCAGGCAGAGGTCTTTCCCATCACTTGCCGCCTAGTCCTTTTTTAAACTGGAGATGATGGGGATTGAACTGGGGACCTTCTGCATGCCAAGCAGAGGCTCTCCTACTGAGCCAGGGTCTCAGATTGAGATCTTTACAAACTCCTACTGCCTGGTCCTTTTTATACTGGAGATTGAATCTGGGACCTTCTACATGCCAAACAAATGCTCTTCCACAGAGCCAGGGTCTCAGGTGGAGGTCTTTCTTTTAAGTGGAGATGCCGGGGATTGAACCTGGGACCTTCTGCGTACCAAACAGAGGCTTTGTCACTGAGCCACGGCCCCTCCCCATGAAGCTGCCTTCTACTGAATCAGGCCCCGGGTTGATATTTAAGAGACTGGTGGTGGCTCTTCAGGGTCTCAGGTGGATAAAGGTCTTCTGCATCACCTAGTGCCTGGTTCCTTTTACCTGGAGATGCCGGGGACTGAACCTGGGACCTTCTGCATGCCAAGCAGAGGCTCTGTCACTGAGCCACAGCCCCTTGCCAAAAGTAGCACAGCAGAGACAAAACATCCATCCTCCCTTTTCCCTTGCTGAGTCAATTTTCTGTGGGTAGGGTGTTTTCGGCATAAGGCAGCATTCAAAATGTGGAACGTGCATGAAGCTGCCTTTTACTGAATCAGACCCCTGGCCCATCGAAGTCAGTCTTGTCTCCTCAGACTGGCAGCTGCTCTCCAGGGTCTCAGGCAGAGAAAGGTCTTTCACAGCACCTGCTGTATGTTCCTTTTGACCTGGAGATGCTGGGGATTGAACCTGGGACCTTCTGCATGCCAAGCAGAGGCTCTTCCACTGAGCCACGGCCCCTCCTTACAGCTCTCCAGGGTCTCAGGTGGAGGTCTTTCATATCATCCACTCCCTGGTTCCTTTTAAGTGGAGCTGTTGGGGACTGAACCTGGGACCTTCTGCATGCCAAGCAGAGGCTCTGTCACTGAGCCACAGACCCTCTTTACAGCTCTCCAGGGTCTCAGGAGGAGGTCTTTCCCATCTCCTACTGCCTGGTTCCTTTTACCTGGAGATGCCGGGGATTGAACCTGGGACCTTCTGCATGCCAAGCAGAGGCTCTGCCACTGAGCCACAGACCCTCTTTACAGCTCTCCAGGGTCTCAGGCGGAGGTCTTCCATATCATCCACTCCCTGGTTCCTTTTGACCTGGAGATGCCGGGGACTGAACCTGGGACCTTCTGCATGCCAAGCAGAGGCTCTGTCACTGAGCCACAGCCCCTCCCCAGAAGGGAATGGAGAGAGCTGGGCTAGGGGTGTGTCGTGCCCAGTAAATGCATCCTTGTCTGGGCAGGTGCCTGTTTGTCACCCCTGCAGGCTTTCTCGGTTAGGCGCAGAGTTCCTCCATTGATGTGGGTTCCTTCTCTCTTTTCTCACAGGCGTCTCTGCCTTCTCCCAGCTCTTCTGCGCGACTGCAAGAAGCCAGCCTCAATGTGGTTCTTGGAGAAAGTGCGGGCGTCCCCCGGGAGCGGCGGTCCTTTGAGCCCCTCGTTTCTGGGCTTGCCCCCTGGCCAGCCCGTGGCTGACAAAAGCAAACTCGGGGCTCCGGCGCCGGCTTTCCCCAACATCTTGACCCCAGACAAGATCCCGGCGTTTTGCATCCCCCCGAGACTGGTGGCCCCCCCTGCCCCGAAAAGCCCCAGCCCAACCTTCCAGCCCCATCGCTGCCTCACCGAGCCCACCTTGCAGGCCGCCTCTGCTGCCGAGGGGGGCTCTGGCCTCTTCTTGCCACACCTCATCCAAGTGGAGAGCGTGGAGGAGATACCAGACCTGGAGGAGGAGAGCACCAACTCAGACCCCCGCTCCCAGGCCGCCCTGTCTCTGCCGCACTTCCCCAAGGCCCAGACTTCCTATGGCTTCTGCACCCTCCTGGAGAGCCCCCACACCCGCCGGAAGGAGTCCATCTTCCACAGCGAGGCGCTGGTCCTCCCCCTGCCCCGCTCCCGGGCCAGCAGCTACAGCGGCCAAGAACTGGCCTCCAGCCCCATCGCCGGCCACCGCCACCCGCTCCTTGGCCGGCAGGGCACCTGGGACAGCGACACAGCCTCCTCCGCGGAGTCCTCTCCCTTCGGCTCCCCGCTCCTGGGCCGCTCCCTTCCCCGGGCCGGCTTCCTCTTCAAGACCCGCAGCCAGGACGGGCTGCTGGGCAAGGCCCTGAGGGGACGAGGCAGGGCGGGGATGGCCCGGGCGGGCTCCTTGTCGACGGACGAGGGCAGCTCCACGGACAATAGCCCCAACGCCACCCGGCGGTCTTCGGAGAGCCTGCTGGACCATCTGAGCTCCCGGGCCCACAGCCTCTCCCCTCTGCCCATCTTCCCGCTGGACTTCCCCTGTAGCCGTGAGAGGCTGGGGCGGGAGAGCATCGTCTCCATGGACAAGGGGGGGCAGCTCCGGCTGTCCTCGGAGTACTGCTCGGAGAACCACCGGCTCCGGATCCGCCTGATCAGCGTGGAGGGGCTGTACGAGGCCTCCTCGTGGGAGGCCAAGAGCATCAACTGCTGCGTCACCTTCGCGCTCCTGCCCGGGAAGCTCCAGAAGCAGAGGAGCACCGTCATCAAGAGGAGCCGCAACCCCATCTTCAACGAGGACTTTTTCTTCGTCGGCGTCTCTGAGGATGACCTGGACGCTCTCTCGGTCCGGATGAAAGTTGTGAACAGGGGTTGCAGCATGAAAAGGGACCTGGTCCTGGGGGAGAGCGAAGTCAGTTTGATGCACGTTTTAGCTGCGTGAAAGCCCCGCATCCCGGACAGATTTTATTTATGTTTTTAAATTTTTTTATTTTTGTACGATTTTAATAAAGTGTGTTTTTATTTAAGCATGCAGGTTTCTTTTGTGGTTATCTAGCAGATCAGTAAATAAGCTGCTGGGTTGTTTTTTTAAAATTGTTAAACTTTTTTTAGTAACTTTCCACTGATTTACGCTGCCTAGGCCGGGAGGGCGGGATAACAAATTAAATAAATAAATCAAATTTACATGTTCAAAGACAGTTACGTTTGGGTCCAGTAGCACCTGAAGAGACCAAGAAGAGTTTCAGAGTATAGAGAGTCAAACAGAGTAGAAAAATTGAAAAAGTGATCAAAGACAGTTATTAAATCGGTGTTACTAAATATCAATACTGTATGATTGAACTATATTTCCTGTCATGTACAAAGTGGGAGAGAAGTGGGCTTTTCATCACCTCCAGCATGACATCAAATTTCAGAAGCTTAGCAGGGAGTCCTCCAAGGAAGACTCTGCAGAGGAAGGCCATGGCTTGAAAGCCCCTTGCTGGGATCACCATAAGCCTTAGATGGGAGACCACCAAGGAAGGCTCTGCAGAGGAAGGCCATGGCAAACCACCTCTGCCTCTCCCTTGCCTTGAAAAGCCCCTCGCTGAGGCTGGCATAATTAAGCTGCAATGTAACCATCCTGTACACACAATATACAATTTTTAAAAAATTCTTATTTAGTTATTTCGTCGGTCTCCTCTGTTTTATCCTCACCACAACCCTGTGAGGTTGGTTGATTTGAGAAGAGTATGACTGGCCCAAGGTCACCCAGCGAGCTTCCATGGCATGAGGGGGGGATTCAAAACCAGGTCTTTCAGATACTAGTCTGACACTCTCAACTGCTATACCATGCTGGCTCTTGTGTGCTTCACAAAGTGTTTTTATATATCCTTTTTTTTACTTATAACATTTCTGGAAAGTGGGTTAGTATGACTAAGAGCCACTGATGGACCTCTGCTCCATATTTTTATCCATAAGAACATAAGAGAAGCCGATGTTGGATCAGGCCAATGGCCCATCCAGTCCAACACTCTGTCACACAGTGGTCGAAAATACCAGGGGCAATCAGGAGGTCCAGCATCATTCTCCTCTATTTTATCCTCACGATAACCCTGGGAGGTGGGTTAGGCT